CTGTTTTAGATTTATTTTAGAAAAACAATTTTATTTTTTTTACCCATAATGTGAAAATATATGGGGTATTTCATGCCAAATCGACGAATTTTCTAAAATAAAAAAAATTTTTTTTTATTTTAGAAAATTTGACAATTGTTTTTTCAATTAAATAAACAAAATATTAAAAAAAAATCGGCCCTGCCCGGGATGAGTGGCAATAGTTGTCAAATTAATTGAAGTTTTTTTCGAAAAAAGAAGAAGTGACCAAATTTGAAAAAAATAACGATTTTGCTAAAAAAAACCGATTATTTTATAGAATTGATCATATTTCATTTTTTTGTGTATTTTATCGAAAAGTTTATTCAAAAACAAAAATTAAAAATAAAATAGATACCCATAGGTCAATGTCTAAAAAAGTTATAGCTATTTGAAAATAAAAAAGCCACTTTTTTGGGAAATTCAAAACTTTTTTTGGGTTGGATGAAAAAATTCTCAAAAATGTATTTCAAAGGATAGAAAAGAATGATAAAGTTTCAGCTAAATCTAAAGGGGTCGAGTTCAAAAGTGGTTGATTTGGCATGAAATACCCTATATATATATATATATACAGGAAATACCTGAGCCTCGAGAAGTTCGCTAAAATAGCATACTATAAGTACGTTTAAACTTAAAGAAAAAAATATCATGATATAAGATGTCATATTTGCGAATTCTTTTTTTTCTAGCATCTACAATTTAATTGTTTGTAAGTAATCAATATTTAATTATAATGTAAATGTCAAAATTATATCCATACCCTTAAAACGCAAAATTCATCTATACAAAGAAGAATAGAAGAAGCACCAACTTCGATTAGGCATAATTCAAATATCATTTTTTTCAGAAGATTATTCGAAAATCTAAAAGAAATAAAGATTAATTTACCATACTGAGAAAAAAAATTTCTTTTGAACAATATGGGCATTCTTGTTGAAAATAATTTTTCTAGATTTGGAAAAAAAAAAAAAAACAAATTTAGATAGACAAATTGAGAATTTTCATCCAAAATTGTTTTTTTCCAAATTAAAAAAACTTATTTTCAACAAGAAATTAAAATTTTGATTTCTTCAGCTAAGAAATGAAATTGTTGAAAATTTCCAAAAAAAAATTTACTGTGAAAACAATTTTGATTTCTTCAACTAAGAAATAAAATTGTTGAAAATTTCTAATAAATTAATTTCTTGTCACAAAAATTTTCATTTTCTTTTAAAGAAATATTTTCTCTCAGTGCATAGGATAGAAATATTTACAAGATTCTAAGGGCCAGTTTTTCAATCCAGAATAAAATTTTATCCAATGATGAAATATATCTATATATTTCATGTATAGGTATACTGGCAACAATAATTATATTTTTATCCTGGATTGAAAAACTGGTTTTAAGTGTATTAAAACTTACTCAAGCACCCTGACATGACGACTGATTGTAAATGACAATTTTGTGTAAGAAAACTTTTCTTTTTTGGAAAAATTATTTAACAATGAATCGATTTGATTCGTAATTATTTGGAGTTGGCTGCAAGCATGAGTAACCAAAACTACTATTAAATTACAAGAGGTGATAAGAATTGTATAGGTAGATAACGCAGTTAATTGATGGAAAACATAAGTAATTTGATAAATCGGAAATGAATCGACGTCAAATACACTATTGTAGCCAGGAAAAATAACTATTCGTTCAGAAGCATTTCGATCATCACTGTTAAATAGAAGAGGTATCACATGAGGCATAAAGCAATTATATAACACACAACTTATATACATCATTACTGCAAATACAAAAGTTATGTTGTTACTCATGTCCAAGTTTTTTTCCATAATATCTTCTTCTTCCTGACTTCCAATCATACTCCAATCATCAATTATATGTTTAGTGAACTTTTTTATGGTGTCATGACGATATATTATGGACAAATATTTTAGTGTTGTTACAGTAACAAACACGACTGGAGCGAGTAAATCCATTTGGTCATCTACATCGGTTACGTCAAAGTACACATAGATAAATCTAAAGGAAATTTCCCATACACCAATAGTTACAATAGTAACTGACCATATAAAAGACACTATTTTTGTGATTGTCAATGATTCAGTTGTTAACGGTCCAATTCCTAATAAATTTAAAAAGAAGTAAGTGTATTTAACAGCTTTATGCTTATGACAATTTTCACTTTTATTTGACAATATAGTTTCTCCCTGATTTAGAGCCATGATACTGTTTTGTTAAAATTTTTTTTAACATCCGCTTATGAAATTTAGTTTATATCTCGCGATTGTAGATAAAAAAAATAATAATTTACATAAATATTAAAAGAAGATATGTTAATCAATAACTAGGACTATACATTTTTTATGAACTTTAGAATAGAGTTTTAAAGTGCTCCCTCTTTAAGATATTTAAATTATGCATACATTTTCCATAAATCCCCAACATGATGAAAAAAATAAAGAGGAAGTACTGGTGTCATTTTTGATGAGGCATTAAAATTCATGCACTTTAAATCGATTCAAGTTTATAATTCATTTCAAGTGCTCAGTACTCATACTCCAGTGATAAGTTTCTAGTGTTTCGATACTTTTAAATTTTATACATCCTTCTATTTTATTCTTTTTTATATTATGATGTTTAGAAGAAATGGAAATAATGTTTTTTAATATAAAAATTTACGTCAAAAAAATGGTCAATTAAAATGTCAGAAAATAATTTAAATTTTACTATTATATTTGGAGTGAGTAATGTATATTGATATATGAGGTAAGCGCCCCAGTAGCTGCTCATGTACCAGTCATGCTCACTCCATGTATTTGTATATCTATATTCACAAACATAGATATACAAATACATGGAGTGAGCACGTACTGGTACATGGGCAGCTATCGGGGCTTTTACCTTATATTTAAAAATTTGAATTTACGTGTAACTGTGTTGATTAATAGACATAATTATCATTGAGGTAATTTAAAAAAAATGTATTATCTATTTACTGATTTGAATTAAAGTAAGTTACTTACATAAGTAAAATTAATAAAAAATTTACTGCGTTACTAATATTATGAATTTAATTGCGTGAAAAGAAGGTGAAAGGTTTCGAGATAATTTATAAATTTGTCTTGTCTTCACTTGTTTTAAAATAGTTATCTAAAACTAAGCAATATTGTTTTGTGAATGAATGAATATATATTAGTTATTAGCGTTTTAACACTGCTGAGGAATAGTAAATATTCCAGATATTCGGAAGATATTTACCGGGCAATTAAGCTTTTTTTTATACTAATAAATTTTCAATACAGAAGCTTGCACTGTTATACGTTTTATTTTTATATTGTCTCTTCGTATTTTAAAATATTGTTAAGTAGTTAACGGTGAAAATTTAAATATTCCAAGCTAAAAAAACCTTATCTGTTAACTTAACAAGTAATTAGAACTAAATTTTCAAAGTTCCATCATTCGCAATATGTTTAAATATGCCACTGATGTTTTTAAAACCTGAAAATACAATAAAATATTAGCTTGAGTGATTTCAAAAATTCATTAGTGAAAATTCAGCTAGACAAGATTTGATTTTGTCTTTTTAAAGTTTTATCACTTCATTATTTTTTAATTTATAAAAATCAAGTCTAGCTTTATTTAAGTGTGTAGAAAAAAAAATAATATAACTTTAGTTTACTTAGAGTCATACTAAATATGTCTTTATATTTAATCAAAAAATATTTAGCATAAAAAATAATGTAGGTATTTCTTATACATACACTAGAAAAATCTTTGAATGATAACTCAAAGAGACCACCAGCTGTTATTTTTTGAGGATTTTGGCTTATAGCTATCATCATAATTAAATTGGAAGAATTTTTTTGAGAAAAATGGCTTGAGAGGCGTGAATGGCGTGATCGGACACAAGGCCTCAGAGGTTTTCGACGCGAAGAAAATTGCCAGACACGCAGAAACCCGCATTCATGTAAGTCGAATGTGTATCTGGTGTCCTTGTTCGAGTTTTCGCCTGATAATTCGGTAAGTAACTCACAAGTTAAGCTTGAGTATTTTCCGAGCACTGCGTCGTCTCCTGGCTTCGAATAATTTATTTATTTATTAGTTAGTAAATATTTATTATTTAATCGAGTCGAGCCCGTAGTGAGTAAGGGGTGTCTCCAGTACCTGTCCCGAAAGCAACGCGTTTGGGTCCACGAGTTGGCCTGTATTGTTTTAAATTTATAATTATATTTGGACGAGATAACCAAACGAAGGAATTTGGGTTTATCTCAATAAAATAATCATCAGACATAATTTCTGATAGTTAATAAATATCATTATTTGACAAGTAAATGGTCTACTGAGGATTGAGGCCGATATTTTGAAATCAATTGTTAGTAATTGTAAATAAGGGTATTATTATTATTATGATTATACAGTCTACCCGACAAAAGAGTTCTGGACTTAGATTTAAGTGACTTTATTTTTGCTATTTTATTTACTAATACTTCTTCATTTGATACATTATTTTTCTCTTTCTTTGCCTAGTACTATTATATTTTTCTTTCTCCACGGATGCCTGCAGATTGGCCCTGAAGATAAAGGGTTTGTTATTTCCCTGATAGGAAAAAAATAACTGGCGTCCAAACGTGCACTAACCCAGCCTAAGTGGCAGCTGCGGTGTTGCTTGGGAGATTGAGAGCACCTCCTAAGTCCTGTATTTGCATTTATAATTCATTTTGGACGACCTGAATAAGGTTCTATTTTACTCGATGTCTCCGCCGCCGAGTTATTAAAGTGGTAAATCTTTGTTACAATAGATATCAATTTGAAAAATTACCAAATGTGGTTTACCGATAATTTTCTTAATATGGTACTTATATTTCTCTGGGTAAAATTATATTTTTCTCATTATGCTGAGATAAACATTACAAGAGTGTTTTTGGAATTATATTTTCTTTTCACAATAAAACTGTATTTGAAATAATTCATATCATTTTTTAAAAGAATATTAGATATTTGATGCTCTTAAAAGTTGTAGGTAAGCAAATCCAGATTTCAATATCTGAAAAAATGAAACAGGAAAATGGTTTTAACCGTAACTTCATTATTAACTATTACATTGCCATTTAAATGAATTAATTTAAAAAATGTGGATTATTTTATGGTAATTGACTTTGTTGCTCACCGATAAAAAAATTAAATTGATTCTAAGAAGAAACTTCTTGAACTAAGAATATAATTTTGAAGGATTTGGTCATCTTGAAGTAGGAAAATTCTTAAGTAAAATTTACTTAAAACCAAGAACATTCTTTTAGTTCAAGAATTTTTTCACTTGGTTCAATATCTTGGATCAATCTCTTTAAATTGATAGTCTTGGTTTAAACATTTTTGTTTCAAATCAAGTTAATTTTTTATCATTGCACTCAATGGCATAATTTTTGAAAGATGATTAGTAAGAAAAATTACTCGAGGTTGGCTTACACTCACTGAATTGATTTTTTTAAACTTACTTGAAGATAAGTCACAAAAGACAGATCAACGATTCCACCTGCGCTAATTTTTTGAGGTTGTTGAGACATAATTATAATCAAATTAAAATACTGTCTTGTATTTACTGGAGTTTTATACCACTCAACCGAATTAAGTTTTTCCCCTACGTTCATAAACTATTTTAGATTTATTTTAGAAAAACAATTTTATTTTTTTTACCCATAGTGTGAAAAAATATATATACAGTAAATACCTGAGCCTCGAGAAGTTCGCTAAAATAGCATATTATAAGTATGTTAAAACTCAAAGAAAAAAATATCATGATATAAGACGTCATATTTGCGAATTCTTTTTTTTCTAGCAACTATAATTTAATTGTTTGTAAGTAATAAATATTTGATTATAGTATAAATGTTAAAATTATATCCATACCCGTAAAACGCAAAATTCATCTATACAAAGAAGAATAGAAGAAGCACCAACTTCAATTAGACACAATTCAAATATCATTTTTTTCAAAAGTTTATTCGAAAATCTAAAAGAAATAAGGATTAATTTAGCACATCGAGAGAAAAGTTCTTTCTAATAAGATGGGCGTTCTTGTGACAAGAAATTAATTTATTGGGAATTTTCAAATATTTTATTACTTAGCTAAAGAAATCAAAATTCTAGATAGATAACCTGAGAATTTTCATCCAATATTTTTTTTCCAAATCTAGGAAACTTTGTTCCAACACGAAATTTACTGTGAGAAAAATATTGATTCCTTCAGCTAAGAAATAAAAGTGTTGAAAATTTCTAATAAATTAATTTCTTGTTACAAAAATTTTCATTTTCTTCTAAAGAAATTTTTTCTCTTACTGCATAGGATAGAAAGACAAGATTTTAAGTGTATTAAAACTTACTCAAGCACCCTAACATGACGACTGATTGTAAATGACAATTTTGTGTAAGAGAACTTTTCTTTTTTGGAAAAATTATTTAACAATGAATCGATTTGATTCGTAATTATTTGAAGTTGGCTGCAAGCATGAGTAACCAAAACTACTATTAAATTACAAGAGGTGATAAGAATTGTATAGCCGGATAACGCAGTTAATTGATGGAAAACATAAGTAATTTGATAAATCGGAAATGAATCGACGTCAAACACACTATTGTAGCCAGGAAAAATAACTATTCGTTCAGAAGAATTTTGATCACTACTATTAAATAGAAGAGGTATCACATGAGGCATAAGGCAATTATATAACACACAACATAGATACATCATTACTGCAAATACGAAAGTTATGTTGTTACTCATGTTCAAGTTTTTTTTCATGATATCTTCTTCTTCCTGATTTCCAATCATACTCCAATCATCAATTATATGTTTAGTGAACTTTTTTATGGTGTCATGACGATATATTATGGACGTATATTTTAGTATAATTACAGCAAGCAACACGACTGGAGCGAGTAAATCCATTTGGTCATCTACATCGGTTACGTCAAAGTATATATAGATGAATCTGAAGGACATTTCCCATACACCAATGGCTACAATAGTAACTGACCATATAAAGGACACTATTTTTGTGATTGTCAATGATTCAGTTGTTAACGGTCCAATTCCTAATAAATTTAAAAAGAAGTATGTGTATTTAACAGCTTTATGCTTATGACAATTTTCACTTTTATTTGACAATATAGTTTCTCCCTGATTGAGAGCCATGATACTGTTTTGTTAAAATTTTTTTTAACATCCGCTTATGAAATTTAGTTTATATCTCGCGATTGTAGATAAAAAAAATAATAATTTACATAAATATTAAAAGAAGATATGTTAATCAATAACTAGGACTATACATTTTTTATGAACTTTAGAATAGAGTTTTAAAGTGCTCCCTCTTTAAGATATTTAAATTATGCATACATTTTCCATAAATCCCCAACATGATGAAAAAAATAAAGAGGAATTACTGGTGTCATTTTTGATGAGGCATTAAAATTCATGCACTTTAAATCGATTCAAGTTTATAATTCATTTCAAGTGCTCAGTACTCATACTCCAGTGATAAGTTTCTAGTGTTTCGATACTTTTAAATTTTATACATCCTTCTATTTTATTCTTTATATTATGATGTTTAGAAGAAATGGAAATAATGTTTTTTAATATAAAAATTTACGTCAAAAAAATGGTCAATTAAAATGTAAGACAATAATTAAATTGTTACTATTATTATATTTTGAGTGAGTGATGTGTATTGATATATAGATTTAAATATTTGAATTGACGTGTAAGTGTGTTGATCAATAGACATAACTCTCATCGACATTAATTTGAAAAAAATATATTATCTATTTACTGATTTGAATTCCTTAAAGTGAGTTACTTGTATAAGTAAAATTAATTAAGGATTTGCTGCGTTACTTGTTTTGTCGAAAACTATCCAATGCGGATAATTCCCGTAATTGTTTTAAATTTTATGATAAAGTTGGGATTAGGAAATTAAATAATAATACTTGGAATTTTTGGGGAACAATTGAGAAGAATTTATTTGTCCCCAAAGGAGGAAAACCCAGCTAGGCTGGGAAAAAACCTCTTTGTTGAAAATTATACAAGTAAGTTGTATGTGTGTAAGTGTGTGTGTGTGTAAAATTACGTTGCAATAATGCAATAGGGGTGAGCTCAGCCGCCGTATAAAGAAAATTATCGATAATTTGAATTTGTACTGTCCTAAGGCGGGAGCTAGTAATTTGAATTTGTACTGTCCCAAGGCGGGAGCTAGTAATATCTAATTAATTAGATGAACTGTCTCAAGGCGAGAGCTAATAATGTTCAATTAATTAGATGAATTGTCTCAAGGTGAGAGCTACTAATGTTTAATTAGTTAAATAAATAGTCTCAAGGTGAGAGCTAATATTATTTAATTGTCTCTAGATGAGAGCTAATAATATTCAATTGATAACAGAATGTTAGTCAATTGAGTTTGATAATTTCGTGTAGAAATTAGTCAAATTATTTGAAGCTGGAATTTAACTATTTAAAGGTTAAATTAAATAAGATCGTAATTAAATGTTAATAATTAATTCAATGTAATTAATGGTTAATATCACGCGTCAATTATGGATTGACTAAAGCCGCGTGGCTGATGCAATCCTTTGTCACGGTGGCGCGTAATGGCCGCGTGGCGTCACTAAATAAATTTACTTGATTTTATTTATGTTAATTCACTGAACTATTAAACTGATTTAAATGAATTGAGAATTTAAAGTATAATTGAATCTACTATAATAATTTATATTTAATGAATGATTTAAATATTTGAATGAATGTGAGATGTAAGTAAGAATTATCAAATTGATTAGCACAGAGCAGTCGTACTAGTACAGAAGTCCAAGCACAACTGTTGCATCAGACCACGCGAGCCGGCTTCTCTACCGCTAACCAAGGCGCGCATGAGCGACGGCCATAGCGTGATACGATTATTCCCGAGTTTATACGATTGTTCCCGAGTTTTAACGATTAAGCCCGAAGGCGTAATTCTTCTTATAAGTATTTGACTAGATCTCTTTTCTAGCGGTTAAACATTACTAATATTACGAATTTAATTGCGTGAAAAGAAAGTGAAAGGTTTTGAGAAAATTTATAAATTTATCATATCTTCAGATATTTCTGTTGTTAAATTTTATTTAAAACTAAGCAATATTGGTTTGTGTATAAATAAATATATATTATAGTTATTAGCGTTTTAAAATTGTTGAGGAATAGCAAATTAAGGAGGTACTGTGCAAAATTTCTTTTCTTACAATATTCTTCAATTTTTGAATACGCGTACTTTTAAGTGTCCTCTATACGAATAAATTTTTTTTAATAGTCCTTGCGATATTAATTTTCGAAATGTTAGCAATAAAAAATCGTACATTTAACATGTATTCCCTATCCTGACCGTAGTTATAGTGAAAATTTTGTTGAATAACAACCATACTTTTCTTAGGATTTTTTTGAAAAACTGAGAATATTTAATTGAAGTTATAACAAGTATTTTTTATCAAAAATAACACAAACAAGTGGTATTCATTTTTAACTTCCCGCTGAGAAAATCGAAGATTTTCAAAATTCAGGAAGTTGTTGGTTTCACCCCGTTTTGCAAAAATTGAGTTTTCATCAGATCTCGACGTTTTAAGGTCACAGGAAGCTTCTCTGACTATTTCCGCGATGGTGTTCGTGCGGCTGTGTGTGTGTGTGTGTGTGTGTGTATGTATGTATGTAAACTTCTTATAACTTTTGAACGGCTTCACCGATCGGATCGAAATAGGTGGTGATCCAAAGAGTATCATTGCCATTAAATTTCGTGAAAATTTGAATCAATTCAGTTCGCTAGATTTTGAGAAATTTCAAAAATAAAATTTTCAAAAAATCGTTTTTTTGGAATAACTTCTAAACGGTTGCACCGATCAATTCCAAAAACTATTCCGCTCTCAAATTTGAAAAACCACGTCGATTGCCACCAGTCCCGTCAAAATCGGTTGATTCGTTCGAGAGTTATCGAAAACGAAAAATTTCAAAAAAAGTGTTTTTTTAGAATTACTTCGAAATTTCTTGTTCGATCGATTTAAACTCAAAAATCCGTTATGAGGTTTCAAAAAATGCGTCGAATGCCACCAACCGCATAAAAATTGGTTGATTTATTCAAAAGCTATTGCGGTTTGAAAATTCAAAAAATAGTGTTTTATCAAACTTCTATCAGACTTTTTTGAGCTCAAAGAGCTCAAAAACAAAATAAGTGAAATGTTGAGCGTATAGGTATGGAGTTAGCAGGATGTTGCAGGGATGGCCTTTAGGGTCAACCGTTTTCCTAATTTTTTTATAAGAAATGTTTGAAGTTAGTAACTTTTGATATTTTACGTGAGTGGAAGTAAGTGAGCGATAGTCTATAAAGAGAGGCAGCACTAGTGCGTGAGAAAGAAACCAATAGCCATAACCTATTGGTGTCTTTTACTTGCCGCAATACCTCCTTAAGCTTTTTTTTTTATATAGACTAGAATTTAACTTACGCGCGCAAGCGCGCACCTCATATTTATTGTCATGATATATTTATGTGTCGTTTATGTATATTATATTCACTTTCAACCAATCAGAATGAAAATAAATATTTTCAACCAATCACATCACGAATAGATTGGTTTCACATACATTTCATCTCAATTTTATTATGGGATAACTTTTCAATACAGAAGCTTACACTGTTATACTTTTTATTTTTATATTTTTTTTTTTTTTATTTTTTAATTTGTTTAAAGTCGCATAAACTACTAAGGTCATGAGCGACTACGGTAGGGGGTAAACTTTTGAGATTGGAACTCGTTTGTATTTCTTGGGCTGAGCAGAATAATACACTTAAATATTGAAAATATTCATTGGTGTACGCCGGATTCGAACCCGGTCCAATGCTTTGGTAGCAAGGGCCGGATCCGATAGGCTACTGCGCGCCTATTTTTATATTGTCTCTTCTTATTTTAAAATATTGTTAAGTAGTTGACGGTGAAAATTTAAATATTCCAAGCTAAAAAAAACCTTATTTGTTAACTTAACAAGTAATCAGAACTAAATTTTCAAAGTTCCATCATTCGCAATATGTTTAAGTATGCCACTGATGTTTTTAAAACCTGAAAATAAAATAAAATATTAGCTTGAGTGATTTCAAAAATTCATTAGTGAACATTCAGCTAGACAAGATTTGATTTTGTCTTTTTAAAGTTTTATCACTTCATTATTTTTTAATTTATAAAAATCAAGTCTAGCTTTATTTAAGTGTGTAAAAAAAAAAAATAATATAACTTTAGTTTACTTAGAGTCATACTAAATATGTCTTAATATTTAATCAAAAAATATTCAGCATAAAAAATAATGTAGGTATTTCTTATACATACACTAGAGAAACCTTTGAATGATAACTCAAAGAGACCACCAGCTGTTATTTTTTGAGGATTTTGGCTTATAGCTATCATCATAATTAAATTGGAAGAATTTTTTTGAGAAAAATTATACCAATTGATTGCATAAATAGAATCTCCAATTTTACCAAACTGTAATATTCATGTTTTCCGTTTTCAAGTAATTCGATGTAATGATTTATAAAAATGATTTAATAGTTAGTGATAGTTGAAGAAAATTTTTACCTGTTGTTTTAATAATTCTCCAATGTGACAAAAAATGTATATATTAAAAATAAATGCCACTAGTAATATAGAATAAATCGTTAAGCCAATTTGATTATTATTTTTCCAAGCCTGTATAAAAATAAAATCATGCATTTTAAAACAATTAACAGAGAAAGATTTAAAAAATCTACTTAATCTTAGAAAAAAACTTCTGATCAGGAGACTAAGACTCTTTTTTTAATTTAAGTACACTTTATTTTTTAGTTTTTGGTTTCAACATTTAAAAAAATATTTTTCGGATAATTTCAGTCTTTTTAACTAGTAGATCCGGTTACATTGTTCGACACGAAATTTGTATCGTACAATTGTGAAAAATTTACACGATGTCTACACTGTAACCCCACTATAAGTTGTCAAAATACGGGTACAGCACGGAACCTACCAGTGTATACTGGAGTTACACGGTGTTTTACACTGTAATACTTCTGTAAGTTGTCAAAATACGGATGCTATACATGTGAACCTAGCGTATTTGCGGTGTAAACTTGATGTAAATGGCATTACGCGTTTACACCGTAAAGTTCGGTTTAAACGGAACCTATAGGGGAATTTCTTAAAAAATTTTTTCCTATTAAAACAGTAAGTATTTGAATATTTACCAATAAACAATAATATTCATCCATGCAGATAAATAAAGTTGCTGCTACAACTTCAACTAAACAAACTTGACGCAAAATTTGCTCTGTATACAATGATAATCTGTGGAAAAAAAAAATAGTAAAAAACAACAACTAATAAAATAAAAATACTACATCTTACTTGATAACTTTGTTATGACGTTGAATAATTGCTGATAAACTATGGTAAAAATTTTCACCATTACTTTGATATTTTTCAAGATTCTGCAGCCTTCGAATAATTATTTCAATTTGACCACAAATATGAGTGACTAAAATAGCTCCAAGATTACACGTGCTAATCATCATAGTACAGACAACAACGCCCATCAAAATGTGTGATAAATAAAATGTTTCATAGATAGGAGACTTTTGAGTGTTGAAATAAGGATCAAACATTGATGTAGGATAAAGTAACGGTCGATCTGATGAATTACGTAGTAACGTTGTTGGACTGCCGGGTAAGAAGGGGGCAACTGATTGATGAGAAACTCCTCCTCCATACATAACGGTAATACAAAAAAAAGTGACATTATTTCCTTTTTTCGCATAATTTACCATAATTTCCCAATCATTCTTATTTGTTGTCATTTCCCAATCTTTTTGTATTTGTTTAAGACATTCTTTAATATTTTTCAAGTGGTAAGTAATCGCAAAGTACTTAAAAACACACGCTACAGAAACTCCTGTGGGACCAAATAGAGCTATTTTCACATTGACACTTTTATCATACCAAAACATATGATAGAATGATGGAATTATTGCAAAAAACAACGTAATATAACAAATAATTTGTATTACCACAGCTAAACATAATTTATGCCTTGTTAAAGTATAAAACATAAAAGGCCACAATCCAAGAATAAAAAATAGCCATCGTGTGTGTTTCACGTAAATTTCTACGTCGGTCCGATTGTTATTTTTTGGCGTTAAAATTTTTTCAGTTTCACTTTTTGATAAAGACATATTTTTTACGTAATAAATATCGCTAATGATATTAGAATAGAGATATCTTTGTTAGATGTAATGCGCAAGTCAATAATAAATTTTTCATGTTTTATCTTGTCATAATGTTCTTACTAAATTAATTAAATGAAGTTGCATTTATAGATATAAATGCAAATTTATTGATGAATACCGTTTCCTTTTATTGATTTTGTTGAAAAAAATATTAAATTTTTTCTCATTATATTGTTAAATGAATAATACTATGACTGAGAACTTACTATTGATTTCCACGTATTTATTTACATCTTATATCTAATTAAAACTTAGGGTATAGAAAGCCATAGTTTTTTTACACCTGCATAAAGTCGTAATACGAAAGATAAATTATCTTACCATTAATAAACCTTTTTGTTGTTTTTATTTTTACTGTTGGTTTCAAGACGTTAAACAAATGAAGTTTTCCTGGTTAGAAAAAAGAATTCGAAGGATTGACAATGTTAATTTTCTATAAAAGACGGAGTTCAAAAGTATTGAAAAGGATTCAATTTCCGTTATCTATACTTCTATAATAATATTATAAAGAGGAAAGATTTGATTGTTTGTTTATTTGCACTGAATAGGCTCCGGAACTACTGAACCGATTTGAAAAATTATTTTACTGTTGGGAAGCTACAGTACCCCCGGGTGACATAGGCTATCTTATGTTAGGAATAATTTGGAAATTTTTGTTAAATACCCGTGTGAAGCCGGGGCGGACTGCTAGTTTCTAATAATTTTGAAATCGTTTTTTTAATCAGGTTTTAATTTAATCTTCAGGTAAGTATATTTATTGAAAAAAGTATTGATTTTGTCATTTCTAATATTTTATATGTTCAATAATTTTGCTTATTATTCATATATTCTTTTACCAAAGTATAAACAGTAAGTTCTTATATTTTAATATGTATATAAAACGAAATTTACCGACAAAAATAATGTCATTGTGCTCCACCCCTAGAACTTATGTTCCATGAACTTTTGGAGAAACGAATTTATTGGTGCGTGTTCGAAGCTCTTAGAATTTGTAAGTATGCAAATCCAGTTTTGATGATCTGAAAATATATATCAGGTGGAATATATAAACCACTTTAAAAATTTTTTGTTAATTAACATTCATTTCAATTGCATTAAAAATTTAATTAATTTAATCTTATTAGAGGAATGAATATAATTTCAATTTTTGAGAAAAATTACACTTTAACTTAGATTAAATAAATTTTATACAATAAATTATCATGTAACTGATTAATTCTTACTTGAATATAGGTAATATAGGATAAATCAATTATTCCCCCAGCACTTTTATTCTTTGTGGCCGCTGGAGACATATTAATTATGAGAATAAAATATCTTCTTGCCTTAGATGGAATCTTGTACCATTCAGTCATGAATAATTGATTTCCAAATTCAATAAACTTTGGTGGGTTTTTGTAAAAAAAATTTGTTAATAAAGCTGATGTAAAAATTTTATACTCAAAAGTATAGATCTATACTAAGAAAAAATATTTTTCAAACAGAGTGAAGAGATTTTGTATGGTGCTGGCATCGCTGATTGACTTTAGGTAAGATTTTTTTTTTATTAAAAAGTTTTAAGCACGTTTATCTCAATACTATGTTTTTCTGGTTTACCTAAATTATATCTCCGGAATCACTGACCCGATCTTAATGAAATTTGAACCATATATTATACATAGTACATACGGACTAAAAACTGGGAAAAAAAAATTAGGAAAATGGTTGAGCCTAAAGGCCATTCCTGCAACCCCGCTAATTTCGTACTTAAAAAGTGCAGAGTTAGCTGAATTATAACGTCACAAGTATAAAAATATATTTTTCTGTAGATTTTAATAAATGTTTTTCTGTGATCGTGTTAAAAAAAAAATTATTAGGTAACTAAAACGGACGATGTCTCAAATAGTTTAACTGGAAGAGCCCTTGGTGTGTAATCAAAAGATTCGGGTTCGATTCCCAGTCCGAGCTGGCTGTTTTGTTTTTTCGGTTTTCCGAATTAAAGTGAGTCAAGATGACTATTGAGCCCATATTTAACTACAAATACAATTAACGCATTTAATCTCGAATCAGCCATTTTTTGATTTTTAAAACATTATTACTGAATAGGTATTTAATTTTTTTACTAATAAAATAATTTTTGTAAGTTTCTTGAATTATGAAGATTATTTATTAATTTGTACGATCACTATTAACACTCTAAATAATAAAACCATGAAATAAGATAGGGCGTCAATAATTGGACCCCCGTCAAGAATACTTACCTTTATCTTTTATTGACAATAATTGATTAATTGATTGCAATAGTTTATTGAAGTACAGTACCACCACTATAGCGTATTATTTTCTCAACTAAATTCGACATTGTTCTGAGCAAAATACCGATATTCTGATAACGGTATAATTTTTTATTTTGATAGGAACAAAGCTTTTTTTTTTTTCAAAGTAACCAATTTATCTTGAAAAAAAATTTCATAACTGTAATAAACTTAGAAAAAAAAAACTTCTTTTAAAAAAAATGAGCAGTGTTGTAATAATAAATTAATTTGTTGAAAATTTTAAACAGTTTTATTTCTTAGCTGAAAAAATCAAAATTTTTCGCATAGCAATTTTCGTGTTGAAAAAAATTTTCTAGATTTAGAAAAAAACAATTTTAAATAGACAACTTGGGAATTTTCATCCAAAGTTGTTTTTTTCAAATCTAGAAAACTTTTTTCAACAAGAAAGTTACTGTGAGAAAAATTTTTATTTCTTCAGCTCAGAAAGAAAATTGTTTAAAATTTTCAACAAATTAATTTCTTGTCACAAAAATGCTCATGTTTTCAAGAGAATTTTTTTCTCTCTAAGTACTCGTTGATTTGGGTTGCGTTTAAAATGAATGAAAAAAAAAGCTCTTCATTTACATTGTGAATTGATAAATAGATGATAATCTATTTAATCTAATGGGGCTTATAATCCTCGTAATATAATTCTTTAGAAATTTTCGGCAGTCCCCTATCTCCTTTATGTAACGTTTCTGTTAAGATATCTATTGAAAAACAGTAAATTGGTCAGCTTCAGAATAACAACAATGATATTAATACAATTAATAATCAATACTCATTGACAGAGATAAATAAAAATATAGATGGATTGACGTTATTTATCAAATATGTTGATTCTTGTTTTTGATAAAAGGAAGGGTTAAATAACCATTTAATTCAGTTTAAGTCTGACAGTCAGCGTGAAACGAAGTTAATTAATAAAGAGTGTTTGTTCAGAATATAGAATTTAATTCTAAATATTTTGGATAAAAAAAAATACAAACCATTATGGACGGTAAATCGAATGCTGAAAAATCAGCCCTTCAGTTAGAAAAAGGTCGAATTTTATGCAAATTTTGTCTTAATTAAATATTTTATTATAATTTTGTTACAATAATCATTGATTAAATTACTTATCTCGGCAGGTGACTCAGAATCAAAAATCGTAAGTACATCACAGCAACAACAGCAGCCTTGTCAGAATGAGATCGCAATTTTACAACTTCAGTACTATTTATTGTGGTTGATAGGAATGGAGATTAGAATGCACGATACCAATGAAGCGAATCTTCAATTTTGGAGTATGGCCAGTACGGATTACTTAATAATGTGTTATAACTTGGTGAAAGTTATAAATGCTGATTTTGGGTATTCTTTATTCCTTCAAGGTATCTATATCTGAAAAGAAATAATATTTATACATAATGACTTATTATTCATCGATGATAAATTCTAGTTATTGCTGGAGATAAAAATTCTGAAGTATTAAAAACAAGATGCCGTATGCTTGATTCATATGAACTGATGATGGTAATTACTAATTAGTCAATCCCTACAACGTATTCATTCAACTTTTACAAAATGTCCAGAAGAACAGAATAAATCTTGCTGGAAATTTCGACTCATTATGACATATATTAAGATCTATATATTGCATTTGATTAATTATTTCAAATTATAGAAGTTATAAGAGCGTATTTTTAGGAATTGATGTAATATTTTTCTAAATGTACAATAGTGCAAGAAAAAAATTTTTTCAGCATTAAAATTTTTTCATCAGTAGAGTCTCGGATAAGTGTGTGTAGGGAGTTTATGATATGTGTAGATAAATTAAAGGTTTGTTGGTGAAAAATTAGCTTATTCAAGAAAAACCCATACGGTATCATTCGTTTACTCGAAGAAGAAAATATTAAGAATCTAATGCCGTACAGATAAAATTTGCTGTCATGGCGAAGATTGCCTCACTGTACTGCGGATAGTAATTGAAGTAAATTAATTTTTTTTCTGTCAATAATGTATTTGAGCTTTTAATTTAGCATAACATTAGAAGTTATATTATGCCTAAATAAAGTTATGTAAGGATTATTAAAATTAGTCTGCTTAGGGCATTAAAAATCCACGATCTTCTCTTAGTTGCGCAAATTTACTCCACATGAGTGCGCACACTGACCCGCAGTACAGGGTAATAGTGCACGTTTGAATCATTCGGATTAATCTCTTTTTTTCCGAAGTGTTTAGGTGTAATATTTTGATTTTTTATTTAGTTATGACCTCAATCAATACTCTATTAGAGACATATTTATATTTTCCATTTATTCTTATCGTTTAATTTTGACACTAGTTTGAATGTTTAAGTGTACACACTTGCCCCACATGACTCTGTTATCTTTTTAGATCATAATTACGCCGATTCCGGATGTGAAATTTTCTTTATACGACCTTATTGCATTTGTAATGCGATTTTATTCTAACAATAATTAACAATTAATGACATTCACTAATAATTTGTTTGTTTTTTTTTCTTGTTTGATAAACCAGGATTTGGAACAAAAATTGGAATTTACTGATCAGTGCATCAAAAATGTTGAAAATACAATAATAATATCAACGACGAACTATGTCTAGATTTACATTTTAAATTAAGTGTGTGTGTGTGTGTTTTTTTTTCCCTTTAGGGGGGGGGGGAATCCTTTTTACGGATTCTAGGCATAGATGTTGGCCCAGATATGTGGCGACTCGACGCAGCGTCATACTAAAACTTGACGCTGACGCCCCTACCCACTAAACCCTAAACCCCTTTCCATTTTCCTCTAATCCCTCATGGGAACCGCCGTCAGGCATTACTTCGTGAGGGGAGGATCTAGCTACTGCTCTTCCTTCTGGTGGCTAAGGTGTTAACTACCTTCCTTCTATCTTCTGCTATTTGCTCTTCTTCTTTCGGTGGAACGCAAGTCTTTGAGGACTTCTGTTGCAAACGTGTTGGTAGCGTTCCAGGCAGCTTCTGATGACAACATTGCTTCCACTAGTAAATCTGGTTGCAATCTCTGGTTCAGGATCCTCTCCAGCTCTTCACGCTGTGGCTCGAAACGAGGACATACAAAGAAGACCTGCTCCGCATCTTCAGCAACTCCTTGGCAGGTCGGGCACTCCGAAGAGTCATCGTGCATAAAGCGGTGTAGATACTCTCGAAAACACCCATGTCCCGACAACATCTGCGTAAGATAGTAATTGAACTCACCGTGATTCCGGTTAAGCCAAATGTCGATCCAAGGTATGAGACGGTGCGTCCACCTACCCTTCTCTGCAGCATCCCATTGTAATTGCCATCGGCCTATGCTATTCTGCCGTTCTTCAATTCT